AGCGATATCAGCCCCTTGCTGAAGGATCCTGTGGCCTTCAGGGCTTTGATTGATCTTCTGGAGGATCATGTGAGGGCACTTTACCCGAAAATCGACTTCATTGTGGGTGAGTGTTGGTTGAACAGCCCTGAGCAGTGTGTCCCGGGTGGGAGGTGTGGGGTGGCCCTTGGGGAATGTCCTAGCCCTTGGACACAGAAATCACCTGAACATTGGCCTCTGTCACGAGGTAGCACCAGGACAGTTTTTAGCATTTCCTCCTGCTGTGGTTTTCTGAAATGCTGGTGTGGGATGTGGCAGGTGCCCTTTGACACTTCCATGCCAGTTGCATAATTTATTGTTAAAAGGAGGGGGCACACAGAGCCTGCAGTGTCCCCACGCTGTCCCCAGGGCAGGCAGGCCCTGTCCCAGCTGGTTTTCCTCAGGGAGCCTTTCCAGGCCAGCACAAACAGCCTTGGTGGCCAGAACACCTCAGCTCACCTGGCCAGGTGCTGAGGAAGAGGAAGGCAGAGCTTGGGCTGGGCCACAGCCAAAGGGGCACAGACCAGACCTGGCCCAGGTGAGATAAGTGAGGGCTGCCCGAGGTGCAGAGTTCCTGCTCGTGTGGCTGGGCTGATACCAGGGCCCTGCTGCCTTTATCTCTAAGGAAAAGGGTCAGAGGGGAGGGAAATGGGCTCTTGGGGCCAGAAGTGTTAAACACAGGAGTGTGGGCTGTGTTTTCAGCCCTCAGAAGTGACCCTCAGAGCAAATTGCTTTTAGAATGGGAGGATAAAACAGGGGGGGTTATGCCAAGACCTTCCCTCAGTGAAATGGTTCCAATCTGAGTGATGGGACAAGAGGAAAAGGCCTCAGGTTGCACCTGGTGGGGGGGTTTGGTAGGGTATGAGGGAATATTAATACACTAAGAGTGTGATGAGGTGTCGGGACAGGCTGCCCAGGGCAGCAGTGGAGTCACCATTGCAAAAATCCACGGATGTGGCCTTGGCTGGGAAATGGTTGGACTTGATGGTCTTGGAGGCCTTTTCCCAGGTGAATGATTCCCTGATTGGCTGTTCCTGCTGTGCCCCCAGGCCTGGACTCGCGGGGGTTCCTCATCGGGACCCCGCTGGCGCAGAGGTTGGGCATCGGCTTCGTGCCCGTGCGGAAAAAGGGGAAACTGCCTGGTGCCACTGAATCCATCTCCTACAGCCTGGAATACGGCAAGGCAAGGCCTGGGGCTCACCCTGGGAGGGGCAGGGGGGCTGAACCCGCAGGGAGGGGGTCCCAGGCTGGGTTCTGATGCCCTGGCACTGGCACTGAGCTGGCCCCGAGCCGCGGTCGCTCCATCTGTGCCCATGGGTGATGTTTGGTGCTGTGCCGTGATTCTTCTCAGGGGGTGGTGCTCAGACCTGGTGCTAAATGGCTTTCTTTGGCTTGAATCCAGGGGCATGACCACGGAGAGTGTCCCCACTCTGGCAGTAAGTGCTGTAAGTCAGAGCTGCCCTGCATGGCTTCCCCCATCCCGCCCCATAACCCGCGGCTGCTCGGGGGCTGAGCCTCAGCCTGTGCTACTCCCGCTAGGAACTAACAGCAGCAGAGCCCCCAAAGCCTGGCCTAAGCCACGAGGATTGTTTGGGCCAACTGAGCTCGTGTGACACATCCAAACAGGTGCCAGTTTGGATCTGCCTCCAGGCAGAGCTCCCCAGGGCGTGACAGGAGATTTTCCTCGCTGGAGAGCTGCTCTGGGATAAGATTCCACCATAACTCACACCATGAAAGTTCAGGATCTTGGTGTGCCAGAGGGTTGGCCCAGCAATCCCCTCCCTGCTCTGTGTTCCTGTGGCGCTCCCCTGTAGCTGGAATTTGTGGGGGTTTTTGGGATTTTAGGTGCTGAGTGTTTATGCTGATGTCTCTGAGGACTTGTCTGTGCTCCAGCATGAACCAGCAGCTCCTGAGGGGCTTTTCCCCAAGGCCAGACTAAACCAAAGCTGCTCTTTGCTCCCTGCAGGCTGAGCTGGAAGTCCAGAGCGATGCTGTGGAGCCAGGACAGAAGGTGGTGATTGTGGATGACCTGCTGGCAACTGGAGGTGAGGGAAGCACGAGTGATCCTGTGTGCGTGGAATCATGGAATGGCTGGGGGGGAATAAATCTGCAGGTGAGGGAAGCACGAGTGATCCTGTGTGCGTGGAATCATGGAATGGCTGGGGGGGATAAATCTGGAGGTGAGGGAAGCACGAGTGATCCTGTACCCCTGTGTGCATGGAATGGCTGGGCTGGGTAAATCCCATCCAGTCCCACCCCTGCCCAGGCTGCTCCAAGCCCCCTCCAGCCTGGCTTTGGGCACTCCCAGGGGTATCCACACCTCTGTGCACCCTCTGGCTTTGGGGTGCCCCTGCAGTGAGGATGTTTCTGCTCCCCTCCACAGGAACCATGCGTGCTGCCTGCGAGCTGCTCAAGAGGCTGAAGGCTGAAATCCTGGAGTGCCTGGTGATCATTGAGCTGAAAGCCCTGAAAGGGTCAGAAAAGCTGAATTCCATCCCTTTCTACTCCCTGCTGCAGTATGACTGAGGAGGAGCACTGGGAACAAATCTGGGGCTGTATGCAGTGACTCTGGCTGTCACAAGGGGGTGGGGAAGGGGGAATGGGGTTAATCACAGGTTTTGAGCATGGCCAGAGCTCTTCAATCCTAAATTTCCCAAGCACTGTGTTGAGTGTAATGATCCTTTTTGGAGTTCATCCTTTCAGGAAGAAGGAACAGGCAGATTGACTGGGGGGGATGGAGACCAAGATGCAGCTTCTCTGAATCTGTGGTTTTTAGGAGACCAAAGTGACAATATTGCTGCTGAGGCAGGAGAGCTCTGACAGGGCACCAGCATTCCCTGGGCTGGGCTGTCAGCCTCCAAGGAACCTGCTGAAAAATTCCCAAAGAAACACAGGAGATGGGCGAAAAGCAATTATTTCTGTAAAAGACAAATCCTGCTGTATCTGACCTCAGGATGGGCTGGGGCTCTGTGCTGTCACACCAGAACAAGCTGCTCTTGCACCAGGGCTGTGCTTGTTGAGGGGCATGAGGTGCCTGCTGTGCCCTTAAATCAGGATGGTGCTGCTGTGGGATGAGCCCAGTCAGTGTTTTCCTTCCCTGGAGGCCACAGGCACCTTTTGTTCAGCACAATTCCCCCTGTCCTGCACCACATCCCACTCCTGTGCTGCTGCTTCCCCTCTGCTGGGCTGTCCTGGGCCACCAGAGCCTGTCCTGGTGGGAGGTTGGTGCCAGGTGAGGCACAGCAGAGGTGCTGCAGGGGTCTCAGGTGAGTGAGGGGGTTTGGAGATGCTTCCTCCAGCACGGTTCAGTTTGCTCACAGCTAAATCTCTGTGTGCCAAAACTTCCACGAGCCTGAAACCATCAGGGACTGTGTCCCTGGCCCAGCAGGGACTGGACTCACAGGTAAAATAAATATTGATGTACTTTTATATTTCCTAAGCTGTCTCAGAGCTGTTCTTGCAGTGGCTGAAGCCGTGAATGACCCCTGGCAGTGTCTCAGCTGGTCAGTGGGGCAGGGCTGTGCTGTGAGCTCTCCCTTATCCCCCAAATGCTTGGAATTGTTTCCCAGGGAGCACTCAGGTACCTTTTCTTTACTTTGCACCCACCTCTGGCTGCAGAGGCTTGGTGAGCTCAGCTCCCCTTCCCCACCCAGCACCTGGGGCCACCTCCCAGCCAGCCCTTCCACTTGGAAGGAGCATCCCAGGTACTTTCATCCCCTTTTCCTGAAAAGCCCATTCAGTGCTGCTCAGTTTGCACCGAGGAACACAATTCCCTGGTGACCAGGCTGCCCCAGGGGAGCCAGCACCTCACAGCTCCCTGCTGCGGAGGAGGAGGAGGAAGGAAAATCAATTCCAGCCCTGAGAGCCACGGAAAGCAGCTGCGTGCTGGGGAAGCAGCGTCAGCCCTGCCCGTGCCAGCAGGTGACATCAGGGAACGTGGGGACGCTGCCTTGGCCCTGCCAGCAGCCCCTGATGTCATCTGCTTGGAGATGAGGCTGGGCAGGGGCGGCTGCCAGGTGGGAGAAGGGTTTCATCCTAAGGAGAAGGGTTTTACCCCGAGGAGCACAAAGGTATTACCCCGAGGAGCACAAGGGTTTTATCCCAAGGAGCGCAAGGGTTTTATCCCAAGGAGCGCAAGGGTTTTACCCCGAGGAGCACAAGGATTTTACCCCAAGGAGCACAAGGATTTTACCCCGAGGAGCACAAGGGTTTTATCCCAAGAGGGGTTTTATCCCGAGGAGCAGAACAGGAGCTCACTGGGAGCTCTCCTGGGATGTGAGCCTGGCTGCTGATTCCAGCTCCTTTCCAGTCCTGCTCCACTCCAGCTGCTGCAATCCAGCTCCTTCCCACCTCAGTGAGGTCCCTGAGCGTGGCTGAGAGCCCAGGCTGCCTCAGGAGCCCCCAGCCTCACACCCAAACCCTGGGCTGGGTTTAATCCCTGTTCCTCCTCCCTGGAAAATGGGCACGCTCCTGCACAGGCAAGCACAGGCCTGGAGGAGGAGGAGGAAGAGGAGGAAGAGGAGGAAGGGTTCTTGCTCCCTCAGGAAGTGCTGTGGGATCTGCCAGACTCCAGCGTGGGATGAGAGGATGAGGGAGCCCCCTTTCCCTGCAGGTCCCTGGTGTCCCCAGCCCCAGCCTGGCTCGGGGAGCAGTGTGAGCTGTGCCTGCCCTGACCTGGGCACGGTGCCAGCCCAGCACCTCTGTGCCATCCTCACCCTCTTTGTCCCTCTTCCTGAGCCACTTCAGCCTGAGTGGCCTGGGATTTCCCCTGGGAAAAGCAAACCCTGGATCCCTGTCAGCCCTGCCTGCAGCAGCTGCTCCCCCAGCCCCATCCACAAAAGCTGCATTCAGCTCCCTGCAAACCCACGCTCACTTTTTCCAGTGAGTTTTTCTCCAGGAGCTGGATGGGGAGCCAGCCCTTCCCGGCGCCAATTGCCATGGAGAACCACGAGACAGGCAGCGAGGAAGAGCACTGGGTTAACACAAGTCAGCTATATTTAAAACATTTAATACAAATGTGTTTTGACAAGTCCTGCAGTTGTTTCCAGTGAGGACTGGAAGATGCGTTTTCCCTCCCTTAAAAACAGAATGAGGCCCGAAGCTCCAGAAACATCAAATTGTGACTTTTTCTCTCACTTCTTCCTGCCTGTCGCCCTCTCAGCCTGCCCTGCTCTGCCTTCACCCCACCAGGACCCAGTTAATGGAAGAAACCTCTGAAATTGGACCTTCAGGAGACCCCTCATGCATTGAACCTTCAGGAGAACCAGGAAAGGGAGAAGAAAAGGTTCCTCAGGTTAGGGTTGCTTTCATCACCACCCCAGGATTGCTCCAGGACTAGGGGACCTACATTCCTCACAGCTCCCACCACAGGATCAGTTAAATTAAGGCATTTTGCCCATCCTCAGGCACCCAAGGACGAGCCTCCCTCCAGCCCAGCCCAGAACCCAGAGCGCTGTCAGGATTTGCTACATTCTGAGATTGCACAGAAAAACCCCAAATCTGGGGGGGGCTCAGAGAGCTCCAGCCTCCTTGGCCGCCTTGTTGAGCCTCTCAATGACGAGGCCCAGGTCCTTCTCTTTGTCCAGCTTGACGTAGACATCCGTCCTGAGGTTGTGGATGCCCACCCAGTCTGGCAGGAGCTCTGCAAAGAGCCGCACGTGTTTCTCCATCTCACCTGCAGCGGGGAGGAGCACTGGGATCAGCACTCAGCTCTTTCCATCCCCTTCCTCCCACAGAGACCCCCCCCAAAAAAATCCCTACCTGGTGCCACCAGCTCGGGGCAGCTGTCGGCCAGGCGGGCGCAGAGCAG